AGCCACATCTTCGTAAGATCCCAGATAATACCAATCAAAACTTGGAACTCCAGTGAAAGCTAAGAGTGTTCCTCACAGATCCAAACACTGGGCGTTTCAGAAACATCTATTGCCTCTTTTTCGGTTCCTACTTACTGTCATTCATTTTCAAATCTCAAGGCTTCCCAGAATTCACTAAACACCTTAGCTTGCTCCACACGAAAACATCACAAAGCAGAATAGAAAAGTCTCCGTTGAACGTACTGATGAATCAGACCATGGTACAGTATGTTAGTGGGTTATTGACTCACAGATCGGAACCACTGGTTGGGTTTCTGGTATAATTAAAATACGTCCTCATTATGTAAGTAGGGACGCTTGAATTGTTTCTGAAGCACGAATTATTACTCAATGAGAATTTCATACCTAAATGAAACCGACCTCAGGCAAGGCCAAGGTAACGTGAGTTCAGAAAAGGTCACGAGATTAAACGTGAAAGTTAAGAGAAAATCAGTATTCCGCCAAATGCAAATGAATTGTCCAACCTCATTTTCACTCTCCTTCAAGTTGGAGTACCTGCTGAAACACTTCTCAGAGTTCCAGGAACGAGCATTTCCATTGCATACAGTATCTTTTATGAACACAACAAACGATACAGAATCACTTTCCTCAATGTACCTGACAGTGGTTCAAAACGAATGTATCCCGAAGAATTTTGTGGCTCCTTCTGCCATGCCTACGTATACATTCTTCAGATTTACTGCAAATACAATGTCCAGCCATCAACAGAATCGCCCTATTTCAAACCTATTCGTGAAAGAAATACTGTGAATCACAAACGGATAACTGTTTGTTGGTTTAGCCTATTTTACCTAAGTAGGATTTTGACGGGTTTGCCTTCTCTGATAGCGTCAATGCTATTAGACCCATAGATGAAACTGAATCTCAAGGGATGTGTGTATCAAGCTACAGTACGGGCTGTTTTGTTGTATGGCTGTGAGACTTGGCTGAGACGCCTATGGCGTCAGAATGGTTTATCCCTGAATCTGAAGGGGCGTGTGTATCAAGCTACAGTACGGGCTGTTTTGTTGTATGGCTGTGAGACTTGGCCTATTCGAGTAGCGGACCTGAGACGTCTTCAGGTGTTCGACAATCGTTGTCTGAGAACCATAGCTCGTGTGGGTTGGTGTCGGCGAATCCGTAACGAGGCAGTTAGAAAGCGTGTTTTCGGTTGTGTAACGGGTACTTCCATTGAAGAATGTGTCCAGCACCAGAAGCTGCGTTGGTTGGGACATGTGTTACGTATGCCGAACCATCGTTTGCCGAAGAGAGTGCTGTTTTCCATGTCCAATCAGAGCGGCGTAAACAGAGAGGTGGCCAGCCCTTGACTTGGCAGAGGAGTATGAAGGAGATCACGAAGCTCTTGGGTGCTGTCAGTGCTACTCGCCTTCCAGAATGAGGACCGCATGATCCTCACTGTACCTGGTTGAGGACACCACAATATATGGCTGCCAACCGATGTCAGTAGCGTTCTTGTTGTCTGTTTTTTATCCAAATCCTCTGAGTGAATGTCTGGAGGTATAGGCACCTCGGAATGATTGTGATAAGCTAGCACAAAGTCCCTTCCCCGTCCGCCTTTACTCTTTTCTTTACAATAAGGCTTTTAAATAAATCATGGTTGTATGACAGCATTGCATTGGTGTTGAACACTGATGTCATGTTGCTGTGTCTTGTGTTGCCACATGGAGTTAGTGTTTCCAGCTCCCTTACTGGTGGTCTCAAATGTCAGATGGAATTCAACGTACCTAACACTTGAATCTGAGGAATCGCTACAGTCTTCCCTATGCTGGACGAGAAATAGCCATAAGCAGAAAGAGGTGTATTGATCAGACAGACGTTACGTTCACGATAAATGTGGGAATATCCTATTTTTAAACACAAACGAACATTGTAAATAATCTTTCAGAATTCCTATTCTGATTGTCACATATCCCAGTATTTGTTCACATTGTTTGCACTAACTACCTACGTCGAATTATGACATAAACGGTCGTAAAATGTATACAATTAATTACGTGCAGTTGAAAGCTGTGTAAACGTTAGTGTTTGCATTAGAGGAAGACGGCCGGTAACACTGTCATTTTAAGACCATTTGGGTAGCATATGCGCAGCCATTCACTATTTAACCGACATGATATTTCGTGTCTCGCTCTGCGAAAAATTGTGCAGCAATGAAGGACATGCAAACATTCAGACAGACGGCTGAGATTATATAGTTTTTATCTGGGTATTCTGTTTAACGCACCTATCGATTTCTCGTTTGCCTCCTACGCGCATGTCCCACCTTACTGCACCTGCAACTGTGGGGGTGTTTCTGCTATTGTTTCGCCAACTGCCATGATTAACTCGAAGGAAACTAAACGAAAGTGGCGGGTATTCGAATCAAGAATACATTGCTTAAGTAACAAAAGAAACTGGCTGTAATGTTTATCTAGATGGCGTCTGTTAAACCTCGCCTGCCGAAAAGTCGCAAATACAAGCTGTGGTAAGAAATCAATTTAATATGGTTCCACCCCAGAACGGAACTATCAATTCAAGTAAATCTTATCTTTTTTAAGTTAGTTGGAAAAATATCCTTCATTGGAACCGTCTGCCAGCTGGTCAGAATTCGGAAGCCAAATATTCGACAACAATAAGCTTGCTATTTCTTTTTGTTATCCATAGGCGATTAGGTCTGCAAAATTCTTGCAAATAGGTATTCAGGTAGGCTGGTCTACATTCGGATTGTAATACTGGCTGATGGCATGAATGACATTCTTTTGACCCGTTAGTTTTGTACTTGAAAATATCGGAGAACAGACTTTGAGACTCTGCGGATTTCAATGCATTCATCGGCTTTCTGGAACACGTGATATGTATGGGAGCAAGTGTTCCATGAAGTGATTGGCTTGACAAGGATATTTCTCAAAAGCACGCTGACAGTCCATAAACTGAAGCAAATAACAATTGTTTCTGGGTGATAATTATGGGCTACTTGAATGCAAACAGCGTAGTGGTTCTGGACTATCACTCATTTATGTGCATTTGAGGTTCCTGTCGAAATAAAACCTAGTCAGGTAGACGTTAGCTTTTATGGTCGAACTGGGTGAAAATATTAGGTTTTCTTCGAACCGTACTGACACAGACTTTGGGCTGGGCTCCAGAACGTTTGAAGCTTATAAAACACGCATTGCGTACGCATGTGACCCTTATCAAAGTATTTCCCAGCTACCCCCTTAATGTCTGATCGGTTAGTTTCTTTTCCCTCTCAAACTACAGTGCTCTTGACACGAGAGTAGTTATCTATGTATCGGACAGATGAAAACGGAGCGAAAATGATGATGAGAGGATTTGAGCATTCCCGAAGAGCAATCCTCTGTCCCTATTGTCTGGGTTAGGATTCGTCAGGTGAATGTGTCAGCGTCGATCACCTGTCGTTTGATTGGCAGTTTATACTGTCTACTGAAACACCAGAATGGAAGTCAGTGCACTGATGTAGGTGGCATACAGGTATCGGAACACTCCTCTGCTTGGTCCAAAAGAGGGAAAAGTCATAAAATTCGGCTCTTTGGAGCAACCGTAGGTACAATAAACAAGGCCAGTACGCCGCAGAATTTACCAGATTCGCTGAAACACGAAACCGCTCACATTCTTAAAGACGCTGCATCAAAATGTCGTCAACAGGCTCGGTTTGTTGTAATTCAGAGTGAAGAGCGTTATTCGAAGCTTGCAGAATATGATGAGCCCTCCGAAGTGCTGGAAAGCTTGAAGGCACGATTTTTCCGGACCAATCAACTCCTCCGTCTGTCAAAACACTGAAGCATTTTTCAGAGCTTCTTCTGCAAGGAACACCAAAATACTGATGTTGCTATACTGACAGACACTTACATACCTGTATTGTCGTATGTCTTTCAGAATAACCTTCAATCAAATGCCCCTAAACTCATCTAAGCGTACGTCTTCAATGATGGAGAATAAAGTAGTATTTTGAATCAGATACTAGCAAACATCCCCTTTCAGACCGTTTGCCTGCATTGTATGTGGTAGTCTTTGGACATGTGTGACGGTTGAAAGTTCTATTCTACCCCACTACCTCAGCTTACTTTACCTGTTGGTCTACTGAGGATTCGCTGGATCAAGAATTGTTTGACTTGTGTGGGATTTGATCTTGACTGCGAACAACAAACCAGCAGCCAATTAGGTCTCAATGAGGATGCATGACATTTGAAACCAGCCACCTCTCCATGCTACCCAACATCATAACAAAAGTTGAAAAGCGATGAACCGAGGGGATGGTTTTGGATATTTTATTTGTCTTGAGGAAAAAACCTGAATGGGACAAACATGAAAGGGTTTTCCGAACTTTTTAAGACCCTCGTGGTTATTATTATTGGAGAACCGGTAAGAGCTGAGAGACAAATATTAGAGACTTCAACTTAAGGCATTCCAGTTTTTGGAACAAAAACATGCAGTCACTGCCTTTACAGCATTTGGAAACGTCCGAAGGGTTCCGGATACTATCGGAAGATGGCTACACATCACTCACAATTGTACCAGCAGAGTAGTTGTAACAATTTGCAACGCTCTTTGTACTGTGTATATTTTTCTCACAAAAGCGCTATACTGAATGCGTGTGAAACATCAAAAAGCGCCCAAAAAGTACACTACTGAAAAGCGAGAGTTGGAAATCTCCTGTCTAGAACGCGAGTAACAGTATTAAACCCTGATCAGGAACTGTAATGAAGAAGTAACCTCACTCTACTTAAAAAGAAATCAAACAATTTAGCAATCCTGTCAGTTTCGTTGTCCGACATCATGGAATAATGCCAAAGAAGTTCCAGCTATTCATATGAGAACGTTTACATGTTGCTCAGACTGTATTTGTTTCCAGAACCAATTTTTTGTCTGTCCATTGTCAACGACTAAGCTGCTACCACGGTAACTATTTATTCGTTCCTCGTTCGGTATTTGTTCACTCCTAGCGAGTAGTGATCATCGATCTTAGAAAAAGACCATTTACAGGCACACCCACAAGAGCAAACGGTATGGAGTTCTTTAACCAACAAAACAAAAACAACAAAACACGCTCCTTTCAGGCCAGCAAACTCATTGGCAATGCTGAAATGGTCGAGGTCACTAGTCTGAGCAACATCAAGGATTCAAAGACCACTGAACATCCGTCAAAGTTCCAGAGTGTACCTAGCAAAGTTGTTGGTCGTTACCCAGTAGTAGACGTTGCTCACAGGGCTCTATTTAACCACTTTAGCCATGACTCAGTAGGTGTGCTAACCTCATCGCTGCGCACATGGTCAGTCAGACATAAGGTAATTGATCATTCATCTACTAAGGAGTGCCACACCAGTGTGCCGCATCAACACGCACATGACAACAGAGCATGAACGATGTTTTTTCTCTCAGTGAAGGGGTTCTTTGTTCGATGCGAAACTGCGCCGGAAGCGATTGATCAAACACCCTAATTAGGGCAACTGTTTGCGTGTGAGTTTATCAGGGCAGTGCGGTCATCTCACTGGTCCGTTTGATTTTTCTGCGGTAACCAATAGCACGGCGGTTGTTTTGTAAGCGGCATCCACAAGGCCAATATCCCGTCCTAAAACTACTCATGGCTTTATTATTTACCGTATATACACATGTGTAGGCGTCCATGCGTATGCATCTCTATTTGCGGTGTCCACCAATATGCTCTATGCATCCAAGGTTAGCCACGACTGAGGTCCATTCTAATAAGAACTAGCTTGGACTTGAGAGAATCTTTGGCACTTTAACAAGGCTATCCCACGTGTCTTCGTTTTGAGATCTCCGCCACAGAAAGATCAGGATGCAGTGCTCTTTTTTACTTCGTTACCTGCGTTATACTAACTAAAATACATATACACGTCATGATATAATTTTGAAGACAGCCCAAATTCTCATGAAATTATCCATGTTTAAGCCGCAAAAACTTCCGAGTTGAAACTTTCAAAAATTTGTCCCTCAGTCTAAAAAGTCAAGTGGGTATTCAAAGATCTCGTGAGTCCCTCGATCAGAGCGTAGTTCGAAATTTGTCTACCAAGTCACTCACATTCAAAGTTTTCGTGTTCGTTCACCGGTCCTCCTTGAAAGGTCCTACTAATGGGCTATTCGGACCGACAGCAGCAGAATCGTTGCCGTTACAATCCTCCGCGCTGTCTTACGCTTTAATCTGTTAAGTCACACTGACGTTCATGTAAGCCTGGTGCGCTCGTCAACCCACTGATCCACTTGAAGCGTAGGCCAGCTTATGCCTTGGAACTTGCGTGATCTGCTTACAATCCTCCGCGCTGTCTTACGCTTTATTCTGTTAAGTCACACTGACGTTCAGGTAAGCCTGGTGCGTTCGTCAACCCACTGATCCACTTGAAGCATAGGCCATCTTATGCCTTGGAACTTGCGTGATCTGTACCCATAAGATTTATTTTGTTCGTGTTATCATTTGTTGGCCTTGATTCTGCTCAGGAATGGCGTTTCACGATGAGCTGTACCATTTGATAAGGAGAAGAGAGATGTCTTATTGTTTGTTCAATAGTTCCAAATCAATAAATTCTAATGTCACGCGACAGTTAAAACGACCCGGAAACGCTATGTTGCGTTATTCAAAGACATGAGATATCATCGTTAACAAAATATGAGATGAGAAAGCTTAGTTTTCTTGTTACAGAACCAACGTCAGAAAATTTAGTTGATATTAGTTTGCATACAGAGTTGGAAACAGTAAGCAATGTAGTTGTGCCTGCAGAAAGAGTATACAGAGTTCTGGGGCTGTGATATTTATGAAAAATCAGAACTCTACTGAGTTCGCGTGGCTTCGAGTTTGGCAACAAAACTTTCAGTCAGAAGGCTCCTTCAGCTATAATTACCATAAAAATCAAGTCTTGCGAGAAGGTGCTGCATGTGTGAAAATAGCATTTAAGGTATATAGGCACAAAAGAGTTAAATTTTAATCGAGGTTTTCTTGGCCTGCGTAATTGGTAAATTAGCAATATAGGATTGTTTTCTAGTGTCCAGTGCATAAACAATGCGTTGAGTCGACGTTTAAGGAGGCTACCACTCCGGTGTTATACTTTAAACCAGATTTGGATGGCATTGTTTCGGTGGTACAAAGTTTCTGGAGTAATGAACTTGCAGTCCGCATTTCAGCCCGTGAACCGTACCAGCAAGTAGGGTGTATCTAGGTGAAAAATAATATGGCACTCAAATGCATTCGCAAACACAAATTAAAATACCACCGATCGGTATGTAAGAGAGGTTCGTGGAGAGATTTCGGACGGTGTCCTTGGCATTCATTGTAACACATTGGCAATACCAAAACAAGAAACGGTCCTAATTTTTGTTGCATCCGGATGAAACCATATTCCCTACACAGGTTACACTTCTCAAATATTATCTAACCGATGTATTATACCATTCACACCTAGCTAAGAGAACAGTGACATAAGTCCCTTATTCCAAGAATAAGGAAGTCGACAGAAAGCATAGAGTTACGCTAGAGGAAGCCTGCATTTTAATGCTGATAAAACCCTTCGTCACACCGAACCAAATCGTCCTAACATGGACATTTTTCAAAAAAGCGATTCATCTGAAAGGATCGCTNCAAAACAAGAAACGGTCCTAATTTTTGCTGCATCCGGATAAAACCATATTCCCTACACAGGTTACACTTCTCAAATATTATCCAACCGATGTATTATACCATTCACACCTAGCTAAGAGAACAGTGACATAAGTCCCTTATTCCAAGAATAAGGAAGTCGACAGAAAGCATAGAGTTACGCTAGAGTAAGCCTGCATTTTAATGCTGATAAAACCCTTCCTCGCACCGGACCAAATCGTCCTAACATGGACATTCTTCAAACAAGCGATTCATCTGAAAGGATCGCTTGAATTTCAGAATGAAAAGAGTACCACTGGTTTAGTTTTGACGATGTAACAAATACAGCGGAGATTTTCCGAAGAAAACCAAGGGACATATGTTCTGTTCGTTGATTTCTCCAAGGTCTTTGCTTAAGCGAACAGAGAATACGCTTTGGCCGTCACCCCGGAGAAGTCTTACTCAATAAATTTGTCAATATTGTCAGTGTTTTTATCTTGGGATAAAGCATAATATTCAAGTTTTTGGGAAACTGCCCGCAATTTGCAACATTGGTACCTGAATGGGTAAAATTTACATTATATCCCTAACTTTATTAGGGTTCTGCTCAACTTCACTATACACGAAGATCCCAAGAAATCCAAGTGTGTTATTTAATATCCTCTGTTAATCACCCATTCGAATCACACAGCTACCTGACAGTGTCAGTTTTTATGACAAATGTACTAGTGTGTATTTTTAGGCGGAATTACAGCGTCCTACGACAACGTTCGAATCTACAGAATCCCGTTTTGTCCTGCTTCCAACAAGTATTCCAAGGTATTTGTAATGGCACGAAAAATTTAGCAATCGGGACATTGCGGGGCAATGGCAGCGTGACTCAGAATACCGTAGTCTATCCGGCGACCAACTGATCAATGATGGGTTAAACGCCTAAATACCGAGGGCTAATGCCGAATGCTGAGGGCTTCGACCACCATCTGCGGTTTGACACAAACGTTACCTTTCATCGTACTACCACACTGTCTGCAAATTTCCACGGCAGCCAGACATGAGAGGTATGTGGGCAGCATATAGAAAACCTAGATCGAATTCATGCACAATCTTTGTGGCGAATCACGCAAACCAAACCATATCGTGAAAAATCACATGCTTTATAGGGCAAAACTATACAGAGTCGAGACTACGTTTACTGACGACCAGCTGAGAAGGTCGTAGTACCATGAGTTGCACACAATCAAGGCGAAGTAGTTATTTGCATAATCTAGATGTTTGTGGGAGGATTGATTCATAAATATAAATATACACTTATATTTATTCACTCATTTATTGATAATATATATATATATATATTATTATCATATTATGATCATAGATTATGTTATATATGCTAAATATTACGCTATATTATGACATATTATTATCATATCACAATAATATATGTGATCCGCCTCATTTAAATGTCTTTCAAAACTTTGTTATGGTTTGATATCCTAAATTCCCACCTAGTGCTGCGTATATTCTGGAATAGTGAGAGTTCAATAGCAACGTAACTGGTGAAACAGTGCTTTCTTACTTTCCCAGTTTCAATTTAGCCATGTGTTTTATTACGGGCTGAATTTCCCTTCCTTGTACAGAAGTAAACATCCATGTTTCTTGCTGGTTTTGTGTATGGCACTTCATACAATCCAGTTGTAATGTAATCCAGCCGCGAGACCAGTTTTACGAAAAACAGAAAACCCATTTTGAGACAAGCTAGAAGAATCGACTGCGTTAACTTTATTGTGAGTACAATCCATTAGCATCATTATATAAGTGGAAGAGAGGAAAAATCTGATAGCCAGAATCTGGGAAGGCCAAAATAGTTACATGCTGGTAATTTGTAAGCATTCGAGCAACCCGAAAATTGGCCGGTTCGGGAGAAATTTTTTTGTGAATACACCTTCGAGCAGCAAGCATGCTACATATTGTTTGAACTGCAATAGTCTGAGGAGAGATACCGAAACAGAAAGAGTTCTTACAATGTTTGTTGACAGTCGTGATGTGTATTATATGACGGAGGATCAAGGAAATTCTGCATAACAACTTTTCTTTTGGGAGGTATTACTGTTGAAATTTCAGCCACAACACAGGGGTTATTCATCCACATGAGTGGAATTTCGTAGCCGAGTAACAAAATCCTGCTCAATCTTAAACGGGCCTACCGCGCTTACAACTTGATACTTTATACGGTTTTAATGTTTTTCTGAATTTCGTGACCATTCTTGAGTTTTCGCCCTTTAAGTATTCGCCAAAGTTTGTTTCAACTAACGAATTTGTATCAAATGGTAAAGAAATCGACTCATTATACCCGAAAACACCGGTCCGTTAGGATGTTTGTCATTCTGGACCATGTGTAAAATGCTCATATTTCCAGTTAGTTAAATCAGTTGACTTAATCATTAGCTCGTCAAAAATAAAGCAAGGCGTCACAAGATACACAAACTGCGGGAATGCAGTCCGATCCAGTTTTGCTGCATTTAGGTTATCTGGATGTGTGGGACAATCAAGAGCAAACGAAAATTCACATTCGCACGCAAGTGAAACGCGCATTTTCTGCTAGCCATAGTGCGTATATCGTCATCAGACATCGATTATTTGTGAGCATTCTGGCTGACAGATTTCCACTAATACATACGAATACGGGCTATATTCGTTTTTAGACGACAGCTCGGTTCAATACCATGTATATCTATGGTACACTGGGATGTCAGTACAACTAAGCGGAAAAATTGCTCGATACAAACGGTGAGAGCATAAAATAACATTGCGCCTTCGAGTACAACTTGCACGTACTGAAGACAGGTAACAAAACATCCGCCCCAATTGTAAGCAAGAACATTTTACAAAGGTTATTCTGTAGTTTTTTGCCAAGTACGGACCTTCTGGGGAATTGTGAAATTGTGAAAATTTCATAATAATAATAATTTCATGATTTATCTGAGTTGGACGGATTAACTCGTTTATTGATCTACTATCCAAGGTACGCTTAGATGAACTCCACACGTGTAAGGAAAAATCAGACGCAATGTAGAATATCTGCCAGCTGCTACAAGGTCATGCACCATTTCATGGACGCTGTTGGATGAGCCATTTGGAAGTACGAGTAAGCTCATTTAAACAATTCGTCATTACTTGGGTATTATGGTGGTATTAGCCAGCCTATGTGCATGAACCCGCTTCAAATTACTGGGAACTCCTCCCTTTTCACAATTAAGTATTCCGCATCTCCCAAACAGTTCCTTATCCAACTTGAGGTTAGCGATCAACCTAAATTCGAACCTAAACAGGGATATCGAACAGTTACGCTCAAACGTATGTGAGGTCAAACATAAATTTAACACACGGAGAATATCAGTTAATTAGTAGATTTCCTATACTTAGGAAACATATTAGTGTGGAAGACCGTCAGGCGCATCTCCAACCTTTTAGGGGATGCATTCGCTTGAATGACTCAAATTTTTCGAGTACTGGGTGTTTCATTAGGTTGTTCGGTGACATCTTTTCAGTTTTTAACTATTTGCCATACCTGACAACATGTATACAAGCTCTTCAAACCGCCTTATTTGATTCGCCAAGACCTACAACTTATCTGTTTAGGAAAAGGATTACACACATGTAGTGTATCAGTATTAGTGAAGCTGCTTCCATTCAGAAATGACAGTCGCTTATTGCTTGGTGGTTGGCTTCGAGTCATTTGTTACTTTCAGTCAGGTGTACGGCAGGCGTATGGTTCGCACCGGAATATTATTTGTCATCAGAAAATTGTTTCTTGTCCGCTTACCGAAGGGTTTTGCTATCAAGGAGGGTTCATACTGCCGAAAAACCTGGTCTCAAAAATCCCGTTGAACGTGCATTTTGGTGGATGTTTCAGGCGTTGTCGTATTCGCCGTAAGAACCGAAACCTCTCATTTTTCAAGGGTTTCCTTAAGGTAGATGCCTTATTATAAGGATCGACTGACAACACAAGCCCTGAAACCAGTCGGATGGTTATGCTGATTCACGCCATTTGCTGTAGCATGAGTGTGTTGGTCTCACTACATAATAAAGTTTGACATAACTCAGCCAGTGTATGTGTCAACTGTGCAAGTAAGCAAGCCGAGTAACTTGGGTCAAGTATGCATGTTAACCAAGTCATTAAGTTTATGTAGTTAATTAATGTCCTAAGTATGTCACGTCCGATCGATATCCCTCCTGAAGAAAGTATCGTTCGCATCTGTTGCCCTATTAGCTTCCAAATGAATATATATTTAAATACATTGGTCCACTTATTTCGAAGCTACAAAACGGTTAATCAAAATGTTTAATACGTTAATTCATTGTTCCAGACGTAAATGGAATCTGATATCAAATGTGTTTGAAATCTACGTGCCAAAAGGCAAGCACGATTACCTTGAATGCAGATTCAGCATGCAACAAACTGGTATGTACCCATCTTCATTCTTCTTCGTTACTGAACTACACTGAACTGGGTTTATTAAGTAAGTTTACTTCTCAGCAGATTGTAGCGTGTATTAATTTTAATCAATAACCTCTGACTTGTCCTTCATTAGTGGGTCCCGTGCACTGGTGACAAAATGGGATACATGTGAAATTTTTCCTTCCATCGGTCGAAATACCCATTGCTTAACAAGTAGACCGGAAGTTTAAAAGTAAATTATTACCATCCTAGGCAGTAACCAGACAGGGTGGAGGCCGGAAAAACCTTTATGAAAAGCAACGTTTAACCCAAGTAGCCCGTCACGTCCGGCCTGTCTCACAAATCCATTCAGTACATTCAGTACATTTCGAGTTAGTTGATTTTAATCGGTTAGGTGTTATGGGATCTGTGTAAGAGTTTGAAAATTCATTATCTTAGTGTTCAAAATGAGACAGGGATGAGGATTAGTACGCCTTTATGCACGTTTAAGACACGTTTGCCGCGAACGCTAACGTAACTTGGCCCCAGAGCTCCTCAGTCATTCGTGTTTAAGTAATTTAGGAAAATCCAACGGTGTGTGGTGTATCTGTAACCGCAGCTTTGTTTGAAAAAATAGGAACGGAGGATTCTTTTAATTTTAATCGGGAATGTTAACTTCCACCATTAAGAAGTTGTATTTACCTAGAGTCGTGAAACGCGTAAGAAGGTAAACAAAAGTCGAACAAACTGGTAAAATGCTTGGACGCCCGGGAAATCGGGATGGTACATGAGTTTTGTCCACATTCTGGTGAGGGGCAAACCGTTGCTTTCAGGCTAATTTTGTCTAGTATTTTTGAATTTCTGAAAAAATGCTGGTAGCATAGTTTCTTGACTCTTTTACACTCAGTCGTCTTCTCTTGAGGAAGGTCAAGGTTGGCGCGCTCTCCAGTATGTGCTGGGTGCAAAAAGGGCATCTAAATGGACGGGCCAGAATACGCCTTCAATTGGGGGATTCTCGGAGGGGGGTTCTGCATCCTATCTTGCAAGCTTCCATAATTTTGTGCCGCAATGCCGATTGTTCACCAGCTTCACCCAGGGGTTGGACAGCGCTATATCTGACTGTTTTCCCTGCTCCACTGCCTTCGTGTTGGATGAAGCGTCGCCAACAAGGAAACATAACAGCTTTACCGCAACTGAGAGGGTTCAAAAGTACAAAGGCCTTGCGTTGTATTTCGAAGGGTGCCGATTGGCTATCTGGTTGGTATTTGGTGGAGTTTGAGGGTCTTAGTAGGTTTCGGGTATTCCGGGATAACCTATAGGAATCTGACCTTAACAGACATTCTCATCTGGCTCTAGTCACTCACCAGCAGTTTATTATTTTCTTCAACGTCTCCTCTCTACATTCTTTGTCCACATCAAAGTTATTTTAGGATGAACTCAGAGTTACCCAAAGAATTTGCTATTCACCAATAGTTATAAATAGTCATTTGAAGTAAAACTAAAAGGACTATTGTAATTTCCATACAGGTGACTGAGGGGTATGCTTCAACGGATGCTTCGCAACGTAAAGCATCCTAAGTATTGCGGATCTAAGAATGCAAAATGTAGTGAAACGTGTTGCAAAGTGTAAAATAACTGAGATCATGTGCAGTCGAGAATAGGCTAAATAGCATTATCGTGTCCCTTAAACAAAACGGTGAAAATCAGAGTAAACACACCTCACTAAACACTCTTGACCGCAAGTTGTCAACAAAAAATAAGCTCAAGTTTTCGTACTCATCAGTATTTAGGCTCCCACAGCTTGTTATAAATGCCTTGCCCGATTGGTCTAGCTGCAGTACACTTGAATCTGTGCTCTTTATAGGCCCGATAAGTGGTGCTCAATTAGGAAAGCCACTTCTATATTCGGGAGAGATCGTAAACGATGAGGTGACAGAAACAAAGGGCTCAGCTGATAGCAGTTCCAGCCGAATGCCTTTAGGCTTGCACCCAAGTGACTTGCTAGAACTCAGCTTAAGACTTGCCGTCTGTCAATCAAGACTACGTTTCTTGGTAGTGATGCATCAGAGTGAGAACCGATTGAATAAACGTAAAAGAGAGATAGTGGTTTTTTTAAGCACGAGCTTCTAACCGCTAGCACCCCACATTTGAGCAAACCGCTTTGACTGGACAACTGACCAGATTCTGCAGCCAAATTTAGGCAAAACGTTTAACAAATGTATGATGTGGTGACTACACAACTGGCTTTGCGCGGTAATTTAATCTGCTATGTAAACGAAGTTTGATTGGTTCCATATCTGCCATAAGTTACCCTTGAAAGTTAGTGACGCCACCTGAAATGCTTCTCATAAGATATGATCAAAGAATGACCACTCAGTTTGCACAAGTTCCATGCCTTTGGTTGGGGATCAACGGTACTCTACTCAAAAGACTCTCAAATCGTTTATGGGAAAGATAATTAGTTTTCGTATCTCTTCCTACCAAATCAAGCAGACTCACTTTTTCTTATATCCATCCCAATCATATTCAAAGGGTTCAGTGTTTCGTTGCTGTTCAGCACTGTGCAAACACCTATTCTTTGGCCTCCAGCGTTGCCTTCCTTGGCAACTAACTTCGGAGCCAGGTCAATCCACTGAAGTCCGCCGATACCATCCACACTTGCTCGAATCTCTGGGAAGATGTACACAACATATGCGTCCAAAAGACCTTCTCGATCGGACATGGCGAGCGCAATGGGTACAGACATCCGAATTGTCACATTTGTTAACTTTCTTGTCGGTCCCATATATTCCACTTGAACAGTGTGTTCAACTCTGGGACCAATCTCATCAACATCCACGCGTCTCTGGAATCCAGAACCCCAAAACACCGGCTTTGTACGGTTGTCCATACGGCTGGTAACGGGGTCGGGGCCGTATGATAATCTGAGCTTAGGATCACTGATGACGCGGTACTTTACATGCACCACGTTATCCCTCAAGACAGGATCTGGAGTGCCCGTAATAACTTTGATGGTCACTCCGGCACCCAAAGTGAAATTTATTCCAGCTAACGTGTAGTTTGGATAGTAGGTGGAAAGTTTCAAAAACCACACCGCCGGGACATTCTCTCTGTGCATCACATCCGCAGTATCTGGGGCGGGTAGGTTGTCTAAGTAACAAGCGGCCCAAGTCTCGTTAGCCGTCACATCCACGCGTATGTTTGCATCCAAACCAACAGATAAGTCCTGCTCTGTCTCATAAGCTTGTAGACGGGAAAAGCGCAAGTTCCCATAGAATTGCAACTCCAGCCAGACCCCACCGGCAAACGTGGGACCATAGTTGTACAATTTTATCAACAGTCCAGGTTCTGAATAATCCGCATCTCCATAAATTAAATCAACCAGTTGCACAATACTTCCTTCCGAAGTCTCCTCTTGAACCATGTGAATCTTCTCTTCTGAAGACTTTTTTGTGTATAATTGGTGTGTGACATTGATGTGAACGTCACTCTCACAATTTTCATGAGGATAGCAAACAAATCGAGCAAGAGGGATCAGGGTTACACAACGGGACCAATTGATAAGAGGTCGCCTAATCCCCACACCATCGGAGCAAGTTCCATCTTCATCGATGGTTTGGGAATATCCGGGACATGGTTGCAGGAAACGATAGCCGACAAAAAATCCTTTTGTAGGGGATTCTATGTCTAACATATCTTGCACATCCATTTGGGCGACGAGAATGAAATCAACGGATAGCTGTTTTTGTGTGCGGTCCATATTGCTTCTTGGACGACCCTGAAGTTTAAAACGTTGCGCACTTCCACTCGTTGCATTCCAGTCTGATGCAATCTGGTGAACCAGACGGCGAGCTTCCTGGTCATCAAACACACTTTGAATGAAACCCTCAGATTTACCTGTACCGTCACTACCACTCAGGTAAACTGACACAGTAATGGGGATTGAATCACCGGTTAATATTCGACGAATTGAAAGCCACGGTGGAAAAGTGAAACGACATTCAGCTTGGAGTACTGGTCTTGCAGCGACCACATACAAAGAAGTTGGTGCTGATGAAGACGCTTCTGAGGATGTTGGAATCACAAAGTCTGACCAGGTATTAAAGTCTATGTCCACACCATCGGTTGGAAGAATAGCTCCAAAATCCAAAGAGCCTAGTGACCCTTGTACGATCTGCACAGGCACTTTGTCAAAGCTACAGTCCGGTAAAATGCGCAAAATGTAGACCTGGCCATATCCGAAGCGATTGTCAAGATCAGGAGCACCAGCTGCAATCAAAACCGAGCCATCGGCTCTCGGTTTACTGAGGGCCGTAAGTGAAAATCCCAAAAAACTTGTGTTTGCTGATCCGTCGATGTAGTCATTGTACAAAATAAAACCGGCCTCTTCCGTAGGTGAAGTTGACTGAGGACAAAAAAGGTAAATCCTTCCACGATTGACAAAAAGAGTTTTATTGCTCGCATCCGTATCAATGGGAGAACCATGATAAGGTGCTCCAACGACCAAGGCAATTTGCCCAAATTTTCCAAAGGTGATGCGCACCATGGACATACCAAACCCGGTAAACATATCCGTGGAATTTACTCCCCCAACCCAATCTATGTAGTTCAGATGCCGTGTACCCCGGCCTTCTTTTTCAATACCAATTAACTGAGCGGTGTTAACGCTGTGTGAGTCAGACAGGTCAAAAATTTGTGGTGCTGTTGCAACTCCATCAACTATTCTGAATCCGAAATGGGAGCCAAATGACAAGTTGCCCATTGGGTCCGGCCTGTTGACGGTCGTGACAACAGCACTTCCAAAAGGGTCAGTAACAATCTCTATTCTTCCATCAGGCACAGACAGAGGCTCACCAATCCACAAACGAATGTTTTCAAGCAGACGTTTCATGTCCGGTTCTGGTTTTGATGTTTTCCTTGATGAGAGTGCCACGCTGTGTCCTGCCATACAGGGTGTTGCTACTGTCAAACCAGATTGACAAAACTCTGACAGCTCTATGGAGCGGTCCACTTGACCATTACGTATAGTGTTCAGAAAGCATCTTCCAACGGGAACTTGTGACTGAGCGCGCCACAATGGATCGCAGTAGGCTAGTACACTCAGGTCATCACTTAGGGTAATTGCGCTGCTTGATGATCCCAAAAATTCGTGTTCGCTTGTACTCTTAGCACCTGGTGGGAGTATTCTACATCCATTTTTTCCTGAACCAAATCCTAGTGGGTTCTCGTTCACCAATTTTGATTCAAACTCGCATAAAAACATTGTTCCGCCCTCGCGGGGGCTAACGGAAATGTCAGTGTCAAATGTGGAAGACCGTTGAGCTGATCCACCTAAAAGCACATAGCTTTTCTTGAGGCCTTTGTTGCTTGTAAGACTGACAGTAGTCCACTTGAAGTTCCCCGTTGGATATTTCTTTCGGATGACCTGCAACAGTTCTTGACTTACTGATTCAATCTGTGTTAAATCAAATAGTTGAAAGGGTCTGAAATCTGGCTTGAGTCCGTCTGGGGGTGGGGGATTCCACAAATGCACCCGTTCGTTATATTCCTGTTTAGCTAAGTTCACGTAAGTAGTATAATCCAATGTATGAGTCGCTGATGTCAGCAGTATGGAGTAGAAAAATGTAATCACAGTTAGCAAACAAGGCATATTCCTTCAACTTATTCAGTCAGGCAGAACACATTGGCCTATTTGAGGTGGCATGCTGCATCACCTCGAAGTACTGAACAAAGTGCACTAGATTTGCTTCCACCGTTTCTCGTTGAGGTCGTTTACGTGTTGACCAATTGGCCGCATGCTGTTGAGGGTGTCAGCACGAGAAGATAGCAGACGGACATAGCCTATTCTGCTGTCCGAAACAACTGACCAATCGACGTCCGAGGAAGTTTCATTGTGATTGGTCAATCCTACAAAGGTGACTATAGACCCTGCCGTCGTGACGACCACACCGTTTCTGTTACTCGGTCACTTTCCCCTGAATTGTACTTTTCAGCATATATTTATAGAGGGCGAGGATGGATGTTTACCTTCAAAGTATCTATATAACTATATCTGCGGAGCAGAAATATGACCCACGCTCAAGAGCACTACTCAATGCAGAGCTTGCAAGCACTCCCCTCTGCCGACAATTAACCATCTTTAATCTATAACATAACAGTTGCAGGTCAGCTGAAACAATTATAATGGACCTAAGTATTCCTGACGTTCGTATTCTAAGTCTGAACTTTGAGCTTACTCTGGCCCACAGGTAGCTTCTATTTGTAGTACGTTTAGGGACACATCATTCTACCACACTTGAAAGCAGTAAAACATGCCTTTAACTTAACCAAGTTTTTTCTAACCACAGAAAGAGTAACCGGTCCTTTTTGAATATATTTCTTGTCCTCTAACAGGAAGTACTTTAGGAAATCTGTAAAAATCAGATTGGAGAGCCTCAATAGTTGGAGGCTAGAAAACATCTTTTGTTGCAGCAGGAAATATGACGGCTGTGTTGCTTTCATCGTTTCCCCCACCCATCTCAAAACTGTGACATGGGGGCTCTCTCCGCCAAGAAATATTTGAGTAAATAAAAAAGACGAGAAATCAGGCAGGATTAGTTTACTGGGAATACTCACTAACATTTTCTGACTACTCATGTTATTTCTTGCATTAGCACGCTTTTAGCTCAAAGTGTCATTTGTTTCACTTTCGACGGGCTTAAAAATTCATTCTGAACCATTGTCTAGAATGTGGTCAAAAACTAGATATTAAGCAAGTATAGTTTAGATACAAACAGCAAAGACATATGTTTATTGGAAGTGGTTGAACCATGCTGTGGGAATTAGTTAAATAATTTCAAATCCACACGCATCCACCCAGCATGTCTTGGAATACACAAAATCAAGATCAAAATTTTTGCAACATAAAAATCATAGATTAAATGTCATCATTAAACGTGAAAAAGTAGAAGCCATGCTCTGTTGTTCTCCTGAATTAAACAGGCTAGGACAATCTGAAACAAATATCTGAAATTTCTGAATACGAGAATTTTCTGGGAAGGAACCGCTGGAAAACGGTAAAAAAAAATTACCTAAGCGCTTTGCGACTAAATTTCTCCTATTCACCTGATGAGCCCATTCACGTGAAAGCCTAAAGTGGTTTGAATTTCAAGACTGGTCACGTTCGACGTGTATAATTACCAACTCCAGTTCAGACATTTTGAAACTGTACTCGTTAGTTTCTTCAATATGTTTTAGGGAAGTTACGCTTGTATTTGTTAATGCTCTAACGGAACCCGAAAACTAGTTATACGAACGAGAAAACGGGGAGCACTAACAATGTCCGCTTGTTGAGTAAAATTATTACAATAGATATATATGCAAACAAGGGACTTATCGTTTTGCAGGTACAGTTTGATAAATCCGGATGCAGGTTTCGTGTCTTCTTCGCTGTTGTAACAGCCACACGTAGTCCTGGATATCCGTGAGTGAAACGCCGTAAAAATCCTGAGCGGCTCTGCTCGGAGCTGGGCGACGTGCGAAGCTCTGTTGAGTTGTGTCGTGTTGCTGTGGGACGTTTGTAGGACGTTTGCGTGGGTGCGGTGTCAGCACATGACCTTTTGCTACCGTATCAGACGGTAGACAGTCGATATCGGATGTGTATCGTGGTTTGTACTATTAGGGAAAAAAGAACGAGGTCTTGGGCTCAAGGGCTTGACTGTGAGCTGTGTAGTCAAGTTAGTCACGATTGTAGCGTGATTTGTGAGTGCAAGGAAAAAAAAAGATCTCCTGATCCAGCGAGCGGCGGTGACCTGTACAATCATGTATGTGGCGAAAGGGTAGCTACATATTAACCAACTAACTGCCTTCAAATGTTCAGCTTTCTGAATGAAAGTTGTGATCATTTCAATAAAATATTTTTTGGATTCTATCATTTCTTCTCTTTGGTGGACTTGCTTTTTGAAAATGGGTAAGGCTGTGCTGCAGAGTTGAGATCAGGGACGAGTTGAAAATCGGTTTTCTGATCAGCAGCTATAAATCATTAAAAGAAATGTTTGTAGATCAGGCTATTCCCTCGTTCACCTCACAAAAGTGTATAATTTGACTACTATTATCATTTATTTTTGGAGAACATGGTCACAAACATAAAAAGTGAATGCAAGCGATGAATGCGAAAGAGTAACCGCAGAATATGGGAGAAAAGAGAGAAACGCCTCATTCGAAATCGTGCCAAGGACAGTTCCAGTCTGATGAGGTGAATCCCAACGTATGTATAGATTTTGGTATGGAAACACGCGTCTAAAGACCAGCAACCGAAGAAAGGACAAACAATGGTGAACGCTCTTCAAGGCGCGGTAGGCGCTAGCACAGTCAAGACTCGCACATCAGGCGCTACTACTACTACTACTTTCTACTGACTACAGTAGAAATAATGATGGGAATGAGGGAGAACTTGGAACATAAACTGAATTGGCTGATTGCCAACTGTTAATTTTTAAACAGGTTCACACTGATTTGCAAACGTTCCCTCAGGTGTATAGCAAA